ACTTCATCATTCCACCAATCACTCCTCTTTCCTCCTGCACCCACCGTCCTATAACCACAAACTTCTGCCCCACATTCTAATACTGCATTTTTAAAACTATTCCAACCCTCTTCAACCCCCCCCCCCCCCCCCACTGCTCATACTTGCAACAGTCCACCTTTCTGCCAATTCAGTGGACCCCCGCATAACGATCACCTCCGAATGCGACCAATTATGTAAGTGTATTTATGTAAGTGCGTTTGTACGTGTATGTTTGGGGGTCTGAAATGGACTAAACTACTTCACAATATTCCTTATGGGAACAAATTCGGTCAGTACTGGCACCTGAACATACTTCTGGAGTGAAAAATTATCGTTAACCGGGGGTCCACTGTAGTTGCGTATATCTCTCCCGAACTTCCTCCCCCCTTAGTTTGTACACTCTCACCTGCCTCTTACTTGTTGTTGTCATTTTCCTCTTTTTCCCATCTACCTCTTACTCTAACTGTAGCTACAACTAAATAATGATCCGATATGTCAGTTGCCCCTCTATAAACGTGTACATCCTGGAGCCTACCCATCAACCTTTTATCCACCAATACGTAATCTAACAAACTACTTTCATTACGTGCTATATCATACCTTGTATATTTATTTATCATCTTCTTCATAAAATATATATTGCTTATTACTAAACCTCTTTCAACACATAGCTCAATTAAAGGCTCCCCATTTTCATTTACTCCTGGCACCCCAAATTTACTTACTACTCTCTCCACAACATTTTTGCCCACTTTAGCATTGAAATCCCCAACCACAAGTACTTTCACACTTGATTCAAAACTCCCCACGCATTCACTCAACATTTCCCAAAATCTCTGTCTCTCCTCTACACTTCTCTCTTCTCCAGGTGCATATACGCTTACTATAACCCACTTTTCACATCCAACCTTTATTTTACTCCACATAATCCTGGAATTAATACATTTAAAGCCCCTCTTTTCCTGCCATAACTTATCCTTCAACATTATTGCTACTCCTCCTTTACCTCTAACTCTATTTGAAACCCCTGATCTAATCCCATTTATTCCTCTCCACTGAAACTTTTCTACCCCCTTCATCTTTGTTTCACTTAAAGCCAGGACATCCAGCTTCTTCTCATTCATAACATCCACAATCATCTCTTTCTTGTCGTTTGCACAACATCCACGCACATTCAGACTTCCCACTTCGACAATTTTCTTCTTATTCTTTTTAGTAATTATTACAGGAAAGGGGGTTACTAGCCCATTGTTCCCGGCATTTTAATTGACTTTTACAACACACATGGCTTACAGAGGAAAGATTCTTATTCCACTTCCCCATGGATATAAGAGGAAAAGTAATAAGACCAAGAACTATTAAGATAAAATCAAAGAAAACTCAGATGAGTGTGTATAAATAAACATGTACATGTATGTGTAGTGTGACCTAAGTGTAGGTAGAAGTAGCAAGACATACCTGAAATCTTGCATGTTTATTAGACAGACAAAAGACACCAGCAATCCTACCATCATGTAAAACAATTATAGGTTTCCGTTTTACACTCACTAGGCAGGACGGTAGTACCTCCCTGGGTGGTTGCTGTCTACAACCTACTACTACAAAATAAAGGAATGGGGGGAGGGAGGAAATAGAGGTAACCGCTAGGGTAGGATGTGAGCTTATGGCCCTCTTATCCACCTGTGCGTGTGTGTGCACTTTGCTGTTCTATTAAATTTATAAACCATATTATACCAAAACCCATACTGCTCAAAATCACACTATGCAAGGTATTACTGTACTGTTTAAAAGTAATAAAGCTTTTATGTATTTCTAGCATTGTTATCGAGTATGTAGGCCAAGTATCTTGTCATCTATTTTCCTCTATGCTTTGTCATCTAGATCTTATCTGAGTCACTATTTGACCTCTTTTGGACAATGTTTATCAATCATATTCAACATTGAAATTGTTGTAAAATCTATAGCAAACCATCAGTTAGGCAATCAAGAAGACATAAAACCCATTTTATTTTTTATCTAAAATCTCATACCATTTACAAGTGATGCAAAATTAGTAAAAGTATTTTTGAAATATGCATTTGTACATATTAGTCCCTTATTTTTTGTCTGTGTGTGGCAACTTCATATTTTTCTGAGTAAATTAGGATACCTATTGGGCCCTAGGCACTACAGGTCCGCCATCACAAATCCGGCAATCAGTCATTTGGTTCCTTCAGTTATTCGGCACTAATTTTGGCTAGCATAATTTCAAATTTCCAGGGTCGCCACACCAACCTGCTGGTACTGTTTGGTGGCGCTACTTGTTGCATAAGTCATTCCAATTTCTTTTTCTCCATTTTGTTTTAACCTGCTTACTTTTAGCCCTAGCCATGGTTCCAATGAATAAAAGAAATGCTTCTCATTATGTAAAGCACCTACACAGTACATTATCCATTAAAGATAAGGTGGCTTTGAAGCCACTGTCAGTTGTCATGAGCTCAGTCTCATGAAGCAGGAGAATATGCTTTATTACGCTAATATGAACACTACAGCTTATTTGCCTATCACAATTGATCTAATATGACATAAGAAACAATATAAATAATATAAAACATGTTAAATACTCCAGAATGAATAATATTTGGCATAACACCGAGCAGTTCGACAGAGTTATGAAGAGGATATGGTAAACAAATACCATTCTCCTATCCCTGTCTTGGTGGCTTATATTAGAGAAAACAGAGTATAGCACAGGGCTAACTATGATATACACTCGTACTCCACCATAAACATGAAACAAAAAAGTTATTTTCTCTCTATAGATTATCACACATAGCAGCATATGTGTAGAGAACCTAGGATAACCCCAAAAAAGTCAACGTGGCTTATTTTTAGCACCTGGCTTGGGTTAGCCATGTATGATTTTTGGTAAATATTCGATTCCCAGCCAGGGTAGAAACATTAGGCGTGTTTCTTTACACCTGTTGTCTATGTTTACCCATCAGTAAATGGGTACCTGGGTGTTAGTCGACTAGTGTGGGTGTTATCCTGGGACACTGACCTAATTTTCTTGAAATACTCGGCATAACAAGTGCCTTTCTATACAGTAGTATGTCACTGATGTCAGCTAGGCCTGTATACCTTGTACATGTGCGTGTAGTAAATAAAGATATTATTATTATTATTATTATATTTTTATTATTTTCTCAATTGCTTGTTGAGTTTTCTTATTCAAACTTAGGCAATATATGATGGAAAGATACTTCTTCACGTACACCAAAAATGAAAGAAATCAGACCATAAATAGCGGAGTTCACTTCTCAGCCATTAGCGGCCGCTTAGCGGTATATTTTTGTATGGTTGTTATGGTTATATTCTCATTTTTTCGGTCTCATTTGATAGAATGAAAGATATATTACAGAAATAGATATAATTTTGATTGCTTTCATGACAAAAAGTACCTTGAAATTGCGCTCACAGTAGCAAAAATGTTCTATTCTTTAGCGAAGCTCAAGAGTAAACAAATGACGTCACCGTCCAATACCTGTCCGCCTGCCAGTCTAATTTCCAGTACGGAGTCAAGAATGGATTGACATTATTTATACAATTATTACAATAATGCAGTAGTCTGCATAACAGTAAATCTTCTATTTTTTTTTTTTTTGTGAATAAAAATTCCAAATGGTAAACAAGAGTAATATAAAAGGGGCCTGTAGCCGTGACTAATGAACAGAGAAAATGTTATTTTAGTGCCAGGAATGTCTACATTGTTTATTCTGGACCCTATTTTGAAATAGGCATCTGTTGAAATTTGTGTGAAATCAGCCAAATTGCCAATTTCTGACCACTTTATTGGGTAGTTGAAATAAGTGAATGGGCGGTTTCTTGTACTCAGTTGCCAGACTAGAAGTAAATAAGTTTATTCAGGTATACACAAATAGTTACATAGATTATCATACATAGCAGTCTATGTATAGAGAACCTAGGATAACCCAGAAAAGTCAGACAAAGTGACTTGTTTCCAGTACCTGGCTTGGGCTTGCCATATATGATTTTTGGTAAATATTTTTTTTCTCGGTTGTTTGTTGGGCTATCTCATTGAAACTTGGGCAATGTATGATGGAAAGATGCTTCTTAATGTACAACAAAAATAAAAAAGACGGACGATAAATAAGGGAGTTCACTTCTCAGCCATTAGCCGCCTCTTTGCAGTATATTTTCGTATTGTTTTAATGGTTGTATTCTCATTTTTTTGGACTCATTTGATAGAATGGAAGATATATTACAGAAATAGACATGATTTTGATTGCTTTCATGACGAAAAGTACCTTGAAATTGAGCTCAAAATAGCGGAAATGTTCAATTTTTGCCGATGTTCAATGAACTGTGTAAGTCAAGATGGTTAATTTTATTAAGTGTATTCTAACCTAACCACTCTGTAATTCGGCAAACTCAGTAATCCGGCACACTACAGGTCCCAATGATGCCGGATTTGTGATGGAAGACCTGTACATTCTTTATGTAGCATTCATTAGGTGTCTTTTATCACTACTTTTTTGAGACCCACTGAGCTTGATTTTTATTGAAAATTGTTATAAGACCTTAACCTGGAGTTACCTAGTTAATGGCCTAGTTTCTGACCAAATCTTTGTACAGGCACATTAAAAAACTCATTTAATCATCACGGACTCAGTTATTAGTTAATGGATCCGAGCTGTATATTTAAAACTCTTATTTATGAAAACGATCACTTATGCCTGATGTCCTTACTATTGCTGTCAACTAATACTTTACTTGACTTCTAGTAAAAAAGACTAGCCACTGCAGTATTAGTATACTAGCAAGAAAGACACTTTTATTTGGGCATTGGTGTTGCTATGATTCATAAGTTGTTTGCCCAGATTTATAATGTAGAAATAACTATGACGATGTCTACTTTTTGCTTTTAATATTTGTTTTATATACCCATCTATGCATTATGATTTTGTATTGCATAATAGAAGCCAGAGAGGATATTATGGAGGATGTTGACAAGTTGGTGATAGGAAAGAATGAAATAAACGACATAGAGACAGAAGATACTAAGCAAGAAAACCAACAAACCCAAATTGTAGAGGAAAAACCTGAAGAATCAACATTGAAAGAGAGTAAATCACAGGTATGCAGTGATCATAATAAGATTAAAATGTATATTCACATGTTTTTAAGTATTTTAAAGGAATTGAATGCTGTATAAAATATTTCTGTGGTGCAGAAGCATCAAAAGACTTTTGAAAAATGAGGATATCCCATGTACTGTATATACAGTACTAAATTTTGTTTAAATATACTAGATACTGTTTTAAGTCAAAAATGAAAAGAATATTCTGCTCTTAGGAGGAGGTTCTGGGTTACTAAAAGTATTATCCAGAGGCCTGAGAAGGAAGATGGGAGGGGGGCTCTGAGGGGGTTTAGACATTTAAAGAATGAGCAAAATAGTTTGACTTGGAGAGTACATAAATCTATATTGGAGAGGTGGGGTAAGGGTCACCCTGTGAAAGGCTGGAGGGAGGGCATAAATGATGTTTTGTGTGTGAGGGGCCTGGACATTCAGCAGGCATGTGTGAGCATATTAGATAGGAGTGAATGGAAGCAAATGGTTTTTGGGACCTGATATGTTGGAGTGTGAGCAAGGTAACATTTTGTGAAGGAGTTCAAGGAAACCAGTTAGCTAGACTTGAGTCCTGGAGGTGGGAAGTTCTGTGCCTACACTCTTAAAGGGATGGGGATAGTTGCTGTTTGGTGATGAAGGTATCAAATGATTTAAATAAAGAAAAATTAGATATCAAATTGGGGAGGAGGAGTATGGAAGAAGTGAATGTTTTCAGATACTTGGGAGTTGACGTGTCGGCAGATGGATTTATGAAGGATGAGGTTAATCATAGAATTGATGAGGGAAAAAAGGTGAGTGGTGCGTTGAGGTATATGTGGAGTCAAAAAACGTTATCTATGGAGGCAAAGAAGGGAATGTATGAAAGTATAGTACAGTGGACCCCCGCATAACGATTACCTCCGAATGCGACCAATTATGTAAGTGTATTTATGTAAGTGCATTTGTACGTGTATGTTTGGGGGTCTGAAATGGACTAATCTACTTCACAATATTTCTTATGGGAACAAATTCGGTCTGTACTGGCACCTGAACATACTTCTGGAGTGAAAAAATATCGTTAACCGGGGGTCCACTGTAGTACCAACACACTTATATGGGTGTGAAGCTTGGGTTGTGAATGCAGCAGCGAGGAGGCGGTTGGAGGCAGTGGAGATGTCCTATCTAAGGGCAATGTGTGGTGTAAATATTATGCAGAAAATTCGGAGTGTGGAAATTAGGAGAAGGTGTGGAGTTAATAAAAGTATTAGTCGGAGGGCTGAAGAGGGGTTGTTGAGGTGGTTTGGTCATTTAGAGAGAATGGATCAAAGTAGAATGACATGGAGAGCGTATAAATCTGTAGGGGAAGGAAGGCGGTGTAGGGGTCTTCCTTCAAAAGGTTGGAAGGAAGGGGTAAGGGAGGTTTTGTGGGCGAGGGGCTTGGACTTCCAGCAGGCGTGCATGAGCGTGTTCGATAGGAGTGAATGGAGATGAATGGTATTTGGGACCTGACAATCTGTTGGAATGTGAGCAGGGTAATATTTAGTGAAGGGATTCAGGGAAACCGGTTATTTTTATATAGCCGGACTTGAGTCCTGGAAATGGGAAGTACAGTGCCTGCACTCTAAAGGAGGGGTTCGGGATATTAGCGGTTTGGAGGGATATGTTGTGTATCTTTATACGTATATGCTTCTAAACTGTTGTGTTCTGAGCACCTCTGCAAAACAGTGATTATGTGTGAGTGAGGTGAAAGTGTTGAATGATGAAAGTATTTTCCTTTCGGGGATTTTCTTTCATTTCGGGTCACCCTGCCTCAGTGGGAGACGGCCAACTTGTTAAAAAAAAAAAAATATCTACGCACCCCTGGCAAGACAGTGATAGTGTGAATGATGGTGAAACTTTCTTTTTCGGGTCACCCTGCCTCGGTGGGAGACAGCCAATGTGTTAAAAAAATTTTATTGGTATATTATTGAAATTACTGTACAGTGGAACCTTGGCTTACGAATGCCCCTCCATGCGAACTTTTCAGGATACGAACCGTCATTTGGTAGATTTTTTGCTTCTGGATAAGAACGAAATTTCAGGATGCGTACTTCCTCCTCAAGGGAAGTTCTTTAACCCTTAAATGGTCCAAATAGATCGACGTTCAAATCCGTAGTGCTCCAAAAGTAGATCTATGTTTTTTACATATTTTCAAATATAACAAAAAAAAAAAAATGTAGATAAAAGTTTTTTACACATTTTCAAATGTAAAAAAAAAAAAAAGATGTACATTTTTTACATACTTTCAAATGTTGAAAATATGTACATATACGTTTGGACCATTTAAGGGTTAAATATAGAAATAAAATATTTATTTCTTTGTAAAGGTTACAATGTGTGTTTACATATCATAATATGATTGGAGCAAAGAAAGTCGCTATCATACCGAGGCATTTTGGGCAGACTTAACTTAATACTTAAACACCTACCATCCGACATACGACCTGCTCGAATTACGACCACTCGACTTAGGACCGTGTGTTTTATGCCAAATTTCTGGGAAATAAACAGCTATTTGTGTTGTACACAGTGTTTATCCTAAACCTTACAGTATAAAATACAGTACTAACAGAATAAAAAGTAAAGTAAAATATGAAATACCAAAATAAAACAATAAAATAAAGTCATTACAAAAATGTTTTGCTGATATTCAGTAGTAAAGTTCGACTTACGTCCATTTCGACACGACCGGTTTCTCGGAACCGAACTCGGTCATAAGTCGGATGGTAGGTGTAGATTACTTAAGTGTAGACAGGTGAAAAGTAGTGGTTACCGATGTTTTGCTGATGGTGGTGTCGACTACTGGCAGCCTTTTGAAAATTCGCATTACTGTTATTATTATTATTATTATTATTATTATTATTATTATTATTATTACTATCGTATTATTATAATTATTATTAGTAATAGTAGTATGTACGTGGTGAGGGGCTCTTGATCTAGGGAATTGGATCTGTGTTCCAGTTCCCTAAATTAAGCCTGAATACCTTCCATCCCCTACCCCCCACAAGTGCTTCCCCATTATATTAATAATTTAATATAATAATAATGTAATATATAATAATAATACTGTAATACATATAATAATAATAATGTACTATAATAATTACAATAATAGATGGCTTCAAAAGGCCATCACTAGATGGCAATGAATACCACAATGTGGGAGCGGTTATGGCCGCCTCCACTTGTCACATAATGATATATTTTATTCATTGTAGAGTATATATTAGGTTTCTATGTTATTAATATTGTTTATAATGTCAAATTACATCAATTGTGATAGATAAATAAGCCATAGATTTGATATTAGCATTATAATAAAGTGAATTTTTCCTGCCTCTGAGAGCAGGAATTCCGCTTGAACGAATTAATGGCTTTTCAATTAAATGAGGAAAATTGACTCAGCATACGAACAAATCAGGATACTAACAAGATCACAGAATGGATTAAGTTTGTAAGCCAAGGTTCCACTGTATATGGTTCTCTCAAGATGGGGAAAATCATTTTAATGAAATTAAAACTTTTCTTGCAGAATGACATTGGTGAAGAAGAGCAGGGGAAATACTGCACAAATATTGTACTTAGTGTATGGGTTAAATCATGACACTTAGTTCTAGATCCATTAATTTAGACAAGTGATACTAATTCAAGCTGACAGTGTGTGGTAACCTTTATTGTATATTTCAGGTCACACAAGAGATAAATGCAGGAATTTTGAAGAAAGATTTGAAGAAGGTTAATGAAAAGGTAGAGAAGACTGCTGATGCTGAAGATGAAGCTAAGCTTGAGGACAAAAATCAAAAGTATGAGGACGATGACAAAGAAAAAAACGGGAATAAAGATGAAGATATTAAGCACTTTGAAAACTCTACATCATTCAAGTGTGATGACAAAGACCTCAAGGAAGAAAACCTCAGTACGTGTGACTCCGTTAGGAACGAAGATTGTAAGAAGCCTGAGCTTGACTGCAAAAAAACCGAACAGGAGAAACATGTTGAAATGGGAAATTTGGTGATCTGCAAGGAAAAACAAGAAGATGAAGATGATTTAGATAGCAAAAGGAAGACTTCTGCTGATGAATCGTTAATTAAATTGCAAAAAAATGATGACACTGAACAGGATATTGAACTGGAAAAAAAGTTTCACAAGAAAGATCAGGAGGAAGAGGACCACAGTGAAAATCAAGACAGCAAGTAGGTTTACCACACACGTACACACACATGCGCACACACGCACATATGCACACACACACACATACACACACGCACACACATATGCACATTCACTCACATGCTCGCACACATGCGCACGTGTGCACGCACACACACACACACACACACACAAAATGGTTGATTCCTAAGGCAGGGTGATCCAAAGAAGAAAACACATTCATCATTATTCATTAAATCACTGTTTCCAGAATTGTTTTGATTTCATAAGAATACTACTGTCTGACCGCATCATACCCACCCCTTCCTTAGAAGTGCATGTTTTGAGAGGTGTAACACATAATGTCAACTCATTATTTTCTTTATACAGTATAGGTTTGACTCTTTTTCTGTATTATACTAATATATTTCTGGTTTCTCAGAGACTGGGTGAGTGAGGAGGAAGGCAGCTTTGCAGTGAACAGGATGCCGATAATCTCTGGTGGCGAGTTTGTAGGCTCCTCTTCTCCGCTTATTTCTGAATCTGCCCCTAATTCTCCAGCATCTACACAGTGCGGGTATATTATTACTCTTTCTAAGATTTAACTTTTATAAAAATGTTTTGTTTATAAAAATGCATTGATACATTTTTAATATACTTTATAGTGGTCCCTGGAGATACGATGAGGTGATATTACGATACGGAGTTTCAATTTATCCTCGTAGAGGAATTTTGTTTAAAGTTACGGTCAAAAATCAGAGATACGACATGCATATGATGGGTCACATCCTGGGAAACAAGATTAACATAAGTTGCCCAAAATGCTCTCAGGCAACCAGTGATCTGGTAGCTTGCCACTTAACAGTGTCTAACCCAGTAGGAGTAGAGGTCTGTGAGGATGGCTTAGTAGCCAATCAGCAATGGGGTTGAATATGTCTATGATAGCATTTCAGCCAATGGCAGAGTTTGTACTACTGTTTATTTGTTTATTCTTCAGTTTGAAACTATTAAGAGTATTTTCTCACTCATGACTGCATTTGTTTTAATTACATCATCTTTTGCATTAACAAGTTATCATGGTCCCTAAAGTGCACAGTGAAGAGGTCATTTCTCTGAAGATCAAGCAAGAAATTAGTGCAATGGTGAGTGAGTATGCTTTCCACAAAGAACCATCTCTGCTGTTATCAAGCAGATAGAAATAATAAATAATATTAAAGTGGCTGATGAATCTAAGCTAGTAAAAATAAGGCAAAGAAATTATTGAAGATGGAAAGACTGGTTAAGACAAGCTAAGAAAGAAGTAGTTGAAGGAAGATAGTGCCTGCAAGTTATATCTGATAGTGTACAAAGTATAGTAAAAGCTGCACTTCTGAGGTCTTGGAATGGGTTACCAGAAAAACATGTATTTTGGGGTCGGAGATACAATATGTCCACTGGAACAGATTATACCGTAACTCAAGGGACTACTGTATATGTTTATGCTGTAGGGAAGGACTCTATAGCGGAAACATGATTTATGTGGCTGTGTTTAAGTAGCCTGAATTAATAACCCCAAAGACGACTTCTCAAATTCAAATTCAAAGTTTATTCTCTATAAGGATTACAATGCTGAGTTTACAGAATTTGGTTATTGTGTGGTTTACATGTAGTAAAATAATAATTACAGAGGGTACCACTAGAACACCTAGCATGGCTAGGCATTTCGGGCAGACTTAGTTTAATTCTTAATTTTAAAATATTACAAATTATGAGGTAAGTTGGTATTATGGCTAAGTGACTAAATACTAGTTTAATCATGTTCAGCATTTAAGCAAAATATTTCATTTTGGTATCACCTTTTAATATTCTTTTTCTCTTTATTTTTATTATGTTTTAGTATAATGTAATGTACCTTATGAACTATGGATTTTCATGAATATTGAGCTTAATATAGTATTACATTATTAGTTGAATGCAGATTAAATATTTTTTTTACCATCCTTGATTGAAGATAATCTGTCAGTGTATATCTTCATGTCTTACTCCTCATGGGACCTACCCTTCCATGAGGTAGCAATGGCAACACAGTTTTACTGAAGATCTGTCAGATGCCTTAGGTGTTAAGTCTCATGACAGTAAATGAGGATTATCATCATCAACTTTGTACCAGCAAAAAAGTTAAAGGAAAGAAACTTAAAATAGAAAGAAAGAATAAGATAACAGTACCCTGTTGTCTGAAAATAAATAGGTAAATAGAAACACCATCAGTAGGGAAAGTGGTATATCAAATGTAGTTATGATGTCAACATCTGAATTTCAGATTTGTAGATGAATGGTTCAGAGAACCGACATGTTGATAAATTAGATACATATACAACTCTTGGGTATCTTTATTGAGGAAACGTTTCGCCACACAGTGGCTTCATCAGTCCATACGTAGGAGAAACTTGAAGAACAGGAGGAGAATGAGGTAATCAGTCCCTCAACCTTGAGTCAATGTGTTCAGTCCATCAATCAGTCTTGAATAGATTGATGGACTGAACACATCGACTCAAGGTTGAGGGACTGATTACCTCATTCTCCTCCTGTTCTTCAAGTTTCTCCTACGTATGGACTGATGAAGCCACTGTGTGGCGAAACATTTCCTCAATAAAGATACCCAAGAGTTGCATATGTGTCTAATTTATCATCTGAATTTCAACAAAAAAACTTTGAAACTTTAATTTGCACAGCATGATCCACATGGTTTTGTACAGTAGACCATTAATTAGAGCACAGGTTACATTCTGAAAATCTGTAATCAAGTAATTAGGCTAACCTACAAACAGTGCCATATATCAAAATAGCTTATGTTCTGAGGACTGCTGCTTTCTTGACTTTTAAAATGTGTAGGAATACTCATTGAACAATGAGCCTGATTCTTTGTGACACTTGACACTGCTTTCAATTATAGAATGCTTATAGGATTTATATATTCATGTGACCAATGCATGTTTTGTAATTTTATTTTCAGAGATGACTCTGAAAATGAACGTGCCTATAGATCATGGAAGAAGCCCATTATGATTTTATGGAATGAAATAGCTGCACACAAATTTGCTTCTATATTTTTGCGACCCATCACTGATGACCAGGCTCCAGGATACCATTCTGTTGTTTACAGGTAAGCAGTGGGTTAACATTAATAAATGCTGCATTTAGACTTTCACTGATAAAAAGTAGTTTTTGATGCAAGTCTTTTAAGATATTTTAACAATATTTATGTTTATATTTAAGGCCAATGGATCTTCAAAAGGTGAAGCGCAATATAGAAAGTGGGGTAATACGCACTACAGCAGAATTTCAACGTGATGTAATGCTCATGTTCCTCAATGCTAAGATGTACAATACTTGTGACCATAATGTGTATCAGATGGCTGAGCAGATGATGCGGGATGGTGTTTCTACTATTGAGGTAAGAGCTTAAAACAGTCCTTAGTTTCAGTGAATATTGTCATTAAAAACTTTTATTTTTTTTTTATAATTCATTAGCCATCTCCAACCAAGACAAGGTGACCCAAAGAAGGAAAGACACTCACCATAATGTAATCTCTGCCTTGCCACTAGTGTGCTGACACTTCAGATTACCCCACCACTACATCCTCAGCGTTTCTTCAGAGTGAGGGCCCTGACCTTCCCACCTCAAGTCCACCTAACTGGTTTTCCCTGAATCCCTTCATAAATATTACCTTGGTCTCACTTCAACAGCACCTACATTAATAAACACTTGTCTCCATTCACTCTTGTTTAAACAGTGCTTACACAAGCCTTCTGGAGTCTCAAGCCCCTAAAACTCCAAGCCTCCTTTACCCAATCCCTCCATTCATTCCTGGGATGACTCCCCTAGCTCATCCACCTCAACATCCCCTTTTCAGCCCCTCTGAATTACTCCCTTGGTTGACCCGCCTCTTCACTGTCTGTAACCTCCTTGCTGCAGTGTTGAAAACCCATGCCTCACCCATGTGAAAGTGTTAGTGCCACTATACTCTGGTACATTCCCTTTTGTTGCTTCTATAAATAGACAGATACCTCCATACACCACCCACCTTATTTTGCCCTTATCTGTTCTATGGCTTACATAATCTTTCATAGGACTGTCTGCTGACATATCCACTTCCAAATATCTAAATACATTTACTTCACCATACTCCCTCACTGATATAATACTATATTTGTTAAATTAATAGATTATATATAATTAAAGTTCATATATGACACATTGAAAAATAAACTATTGAGTCAACATGCATTGAAATTTATACAACTATGAAATTTCCTAATTAATAGGAAATGATAATGCACTCTGCTCCACCTCCAAAAATGTGATGTTGGTGTCACATTTGTTAATCATTTCTGTGTACATGCAAGTCATATTATTCACACTAAGCAAGAATTATAACCTGTGAAATTCATTATTTCCCTGTGAGCATTGTCATGTATAAACAGTATGTATTTTTTTCTAATTGGTATTAGACACATATCTTAGGTTAGAAATATACCTACCATCTGACTTACGACCTGCTCGACATACGTCCACTCGACTTACGACTGTACATCTGGCAGCTGGGCTGGGCCGGCTGATACATACCACAATGTTTAATGATACTCGCAGATAGTGGATAGGGGAGCAATGTGGCAGATGTTGCAAGTATATGGAATAGGTGGTAAATTAAAAGGACACAAGTGCAAATAATGTGACATTTTATTGTGGCAACGTTTCGCTCTCCAGGAGCTTTATCAAGCCATTACACTGTAATGGCTTGATAAAGCTCCTGGAGAGCGAAACGTTGCCACAATAAAATGTCACATTAGTTGCACTTGTGTCCTTTTACTTTACATATTGTCGGTAATTCTACCAACTTTATTACAAACAGGTGGTAAATTACTAAATGCTGTAAAGAGTTCTTATGAGGATAGTGAGGCTCAGGTTAGGGTGTGTAGAAGAGAGGGAGACTACTTCCCTGTAAAAGTAGGTCTTAGACAGGGATGTGTAATGTCACCATGGTTGTTTAACCCTTTGACTGTCCCAACCCCCAATCCTGAGGTGTCTCCTGGTGTCGCAAAATTTAAAAAAAAAAAAAATTATTTTTTCTTATGAAATGATAGAGAATCTTTTCCCGATTGTAATGACACCAAAAAAACGAAATTTGATGGAAAACTGACGGAATTATGCTCTCGCGAAGTTAGTGACCTCGGTGCTCTTTACAAATCAGCGATTTCGCCCACTTTGAGCCCTATTTTTGGCTAATTCCATTGTTCCAGTCGCCCAAACTCATAGCTATTTCTTTAGAACTCCATTTTTTCTATCGATTGAGTACAAGAAACTGCCCATTTACCGATTTCAACTACCTAATAATGTGGTCAGAAATTTGCAATTTGGCCAATTTCACGAAAACTAAAAAATATGACAATTTCAAAATAAGGTCCAGAATGAACAATGCAGACATTCCTGGCTCTAAAATAACATTTTCTTTGCTCATCAGTCATGTCTCCAGGCCCCTCTGATATTACTTTTGCTTTCTGTTTTGAATTTTTATTCAAACAAAAAATAGAAGACTTACTATTATGCAGACTACTGCAATACTGTAATAATTGTATAAATAACATCAACCCATTCATTACTGCATATTAGAATGGCTAGTTGGACATTTATTGGACAATGGCATCATTTGTTTACTTTTGAACATTGGCAAAAATCAAACATTTCCCCTACTTTGAGCTCCTTTTCAAGGTTCTTTTTATAGTAAAATCAATGAAAATCACCTCTATTTCTATAATATGTTTTCCATTCTATCAAATGAGACCAAGAAAACGAGAATACAACCATAAATACTATACGAAAATAGACCACAAAGTCGGCATTTTAATTAAAAAAAAACGGTCAAGAGTTTTTTTTTTTTCTCATTATGCATTGCGTGCTCCAGGATTTTTTTTATATGGTGCACACTGACCACACAGACCCATTCTTTCACATGTGGGCCTACCAGCTTTCTCCTGCTTGATTTGAAGCCGCTAGAATTTGAGAGTATATATACGTCAAACACGGTACCTCGTAAGACGTATATATACGGCCGCGACAGTCAAAGGGTTAATATATTTATACATGGGGTTGTAAAAGCAGTAAATGCTAGGGTGTTCAGGAGAGGGGTGGGATTAAATTATGGGGAATCAAATACAAAATGAGAATTGACACAGTTACATTTTGCTGATGATACTGTGCTTATGGGAGATTCTAAAGAAAAACTGCAAAGGTTAGTGGACGAGTTTGGGAGTGTGTGTAAAGGTAGAAAGTTGAAAGTGAACAGAGAAAAGAGTAAGGTGATGAGGGTATCAAATGATTTAGATAAAGAAAAATTGGATATTAAATTGGGGAGGAGTATGGAAGAAGTGAATGTTTTCAGATACGTACTTGGGAGTTGACATGTTGGCAGATGGATTTATGAAGGATGAGGTTAATCATAGAATTGATGAGGAAAAAAAGGTGAGTGGTGCATTGAGGTATATGTGGAGTCAAAAAACGTTATCTATGGAGGCAAAGAAGGGAATGTATTAAAGTATAGTAGTACCAACACTCATATATGGGTGTGAAGCTTGGGTTGCAAATGCAGCAGCGAGGAGGCGGTTGGAGGCAGTGGAGATGTCTTGTCTAAGGGCAATGTGTGGTGTAAGTATTATGCAGAAAATTTTGAGTGTGGAAATTAGGAGAAGGTGTGGAGTTAATAAAAGTATTAGTCAGAGGGCTGAAGAGCAGTTGTTGAGGTGGTTTGGTCATTTAGAGAGGCTGGATCAAAGTAGAATGACACGGAGAGCATTTAAATCTGTAGGGGAAGGAAGGAGGGGTAGGGGTCGTCCTCGAAAAGGTTGGAAGGAAGGGGTAAGGGAGGTTTTGTGGGCGAGGGGCTTGGACTTCCAGCAGGCGTGCGTGAGCGTGTTCAATAGGAGTAAATGGAGATGAATGGTATTTGGGACCTGACGATCTGTTGGAGTGTGAGCAGGGTAATATTTAGGGTAATATTTAGCCGGACTTGAGTCTTGGAAATGGGAAGTACAATGCCTGCACTCTAAAGGAGGGGTTCGGGATATTGGCAGTTTGGAGGGATATGTTGTGTATCTTTATATGTATATGCTTTTAAACTGTTGTTTTCTGAGCACCTCTGCAAAAACAGCGATTATATATGAGTGAGGTGAAAGTGTTGAATGATGATGAAAGTATTTTCTTTTTGGGGATTTTCTTTCATTTTGGGTCACCCTGCCTCGGTGGGAGATGGCCAACTTGTTAAAAAAAAAAAAAAAAAAAATGCGGCGGCAATGCGCCATGCAGGCAGCATCAATTTGAGTTACCCTGTCCTATCAGCAGCATCATATTGTATTAACTGTACTAACTGGACAGTAAATTTCACCATGGTCCCTAAGAGGAAGTCTGAATTTTGCACTGGAGATTGTGGCAAGACGGCAAGAAAGGCTCTTACTCTCGAACACACACTATTTGTTTTCACTGTTGCACATAAATCTGTCTGTATCTGTCTGCCTGTATCTGTCTCTGTTTATCTGTCTTTGTTTTTCTGTGTGTGTCTGTTATTCTCTCTACCTGTGTGTCTGTCTGTCTACCTGTGTGTGTGTGTGTCTTTCTGTCTGCTTGTCTCTCTGTCTCAGAGCCGCTCATAAACCAACAGGTATTACACATGAAGCAGAGTTGTCACATCTTCAATATGATGCTAATATCGCTATATAGCTTATTTATCTATCACAATTCATCTAATATGACATAATAAACAATATATGTAAATAACATAAAAACCTGATATACGCTCTAGAATGAATAAAATATGAACTTAACTACTTTAAATTCCACATCTTGCACCTGTGCTGGCATGTAGGTACACATTAAATTCATTAAGAGTGTGTTATTGGTCTTGAAGATGCCATATTAATAATGATAATAATAACACAATAATAATCACTCTGATGCACATTAAATGTATATAAAACGTTAATATAGTCATTTTGCTTAATCCATCTATGATTTTTTTTTTCAAAATTATATAATAAACACGCTTTGTAACATATAAATTAACATAATTATGAGATGTTTTTCCAGTCGGCTTGACAGAGTGAACATTTGTGTCCGGGCTGGTACCAACAACAAGTTTGTTTACAAAACTCGCGAACCTTCTACACTCATTCTCTCTCTCGTTTATTCATTTAATCTTGTTTACTCACCTCTCACTCTACATTAAGACTACAGATATTTTAACGCCTAAACTGTCCAAACGTAGATCTGCGTTTTTTCAACATTTGAAAGTATGTAAAAAAATGTAGATCTTTTTGTTTTTTACATTTGAAAACGTGTAAAAAAAACTTTGATCTACTTTTTTTTGTTATATTTGAAAGTATGTAAAAAAACGTAGATCTAAT